AAGCCTTTTCCGCCTGTAAGACCTGTCGCTAATGTCTGCATGCTATGTTTTCCTGTCTCATACAGCGCGATCGAGCGCCGAACGTGATCAAAATAAGCAGAAAAAAAGTATCGCGGACATAATTTATCATAACTTTGGTTTTATTTGGCCTATCAACACAATTTAAAAACTGGTATATAGGTTGAGGTCCTCACTTTTGAGATAAGTTGAAACGGAGAGTCAACGAGGCTCCGTCTTGCAGCTACATCCGGTTAAATATGTCATGTGACTTGAACGCACACACAGACACACACACACGCACACACACACACACACACACACACACACACACACACACACACACACACACACACACACACACTCAGAGTCTGGTTTTTAGCACCTGCAAAAACATGCTATTTACATATTTGACAAGAATGCAGAGGCTCCTTTTGCCCCTGAAAAAAATCAAATTTCAAACACAACTTGACTGGTCATTTCTCCAAAAGACAACCATGAAGCTCCATCCAAACCTGAAGCAGGCAGTTGGTGCATGTGTACAATAACCTGAGGGGAGTGAGGTGAGTGCTTCTGAGGAGAACATGAGCAGTGAAGATTCACCTTGGTGCTAGAACAGAGACATGCACATGATTATACAGGGGCAGGGGCTCAAGTTTTTTCCAGTCGTTTATACAATATGGAAATTAATGTGAAATTAAAACACAAAGTATAAATAGAAAGGTAATGACTGTCCTGTGTAGGTGACAGTGATATCCAATAGGCTAGGCACTCACGAGGCTGGCTGTGGCAAGTGTAAGTGAAAGCAACACGCACTGGCAGGAAGAACAGCAAACGCCGATGAAGGAAAAGGGTCTTTGCAGTGATGGGCGTTACCAGAGAGGGCGATGGCCAGAGGACACAAATGGGACGGGGAGGCAGCACGTTGGGGGGGGGGGGGGGCGACACGGCTCGGGCCCGCCAGTGCCCCAACGGGGTCCTAGTTCTTTCTTTCTTTCTTTCTTTCTTCTTTTTCCTCCCCTTTGAACTGGAAAATGGCCCACTTCCCACTGGCGAAAACTCATGAAATTTGGCAGGACGACCGGGCCTGGTGAAAAATTTGATATTCTGAAGTCGCCCAAACAATAAAATGCAAAATGGCTCCATAGCGCCCCCTAAGGTGGAAATTCACACTATTGACTGTCACGCCTGTACGCTTTGTCATATTGACACAAAAATTGACACACATATGTATCTCAATAAGATCTACAAAAAAGTCAGTGCGGGCGTATCTGTCAAATGTACGGTTAAAGGGTTAGTCCACATTTTTTGCCGATCCGCACACATTGGAATTTCGCTAACTCCTCTGAAGGCTTTCGTTCCACCGGCACCACATTTGCTCAGGCCAATCTACACCCCGTGGCCATTAAAAGTTATCAAAATCATGACGCTGCACCCCAAGGTTTAGGTTCTAGGGGGCGCCAAAGATAACACTAAAATCCACATATTTAAAAGTCTTATAACTTTTTATTTTTGTCCTCACTGGCCTCCAAGTTTTCTAGGATGATGCAATGTCCAGCCATCAACACATTTGTGAAGGAATTTTTACTCCCCAAAAGAGCGCCCCCCCATGGCAGGAGAAAAAAGTCAATTTTTTCTTGTCCCCTAAGGTGAAAATACACATTGTTGAGTGTCACGCCTATACACTTTGTCAAAATGACACAAAAATTGACACACACATGTAACTCAATAAGATCTACGAAAAAGTCAATGCGCGCGTATCTGTCAAATGTACGGTTAAAGGGTTATTCCGCATTTTTTGCCGATCCGCACACATTGGAATGTGGCTAACTCCTCCGAAGGCTTTCGTTCCACCGGCACCACATTTGCTCAGGACAATCTACACCCCATGGCCATTAAAAGTTATTCAAATCATGACGCTGCACCCCACGGTTTAGGTTCTAGGGGGCGCCAAAGATAACCCTAAAATCCACATATTTAAAAGTCTTATAACTTTTTATTTTTGTCCTCACTGGCCTCCAAGTTTTCTAGGATGATGCAATGTCCAGCCATCAACACATTTGTGAAGGAATTTTTACTCCCCAAAAGAGCGCCCCCCATGGCAGGAGAAAAAAGTCCATTTTTTCTTGTCCCCTAAGGTGAAAATACATATTGTTGAGATTCACGCCTATACGCTTTGTCATATTGACACAAAATTTGACAATCACGTGCCTTGCCTGGTATCATTTTTTTCAGCACAACCTCACCTGTGCGAATTTACAGTTATTTTATCATGTTGACATACTGAATTTACACAATGGACCCAAATTCACACACAAAACATAAAATCCGAGTGGAAAAAAGTAACATTTTTACTGTGAAAACCACAAATATGTGTGATGAACTGTTTTTAAAACTTAAACTTCAAATAAAAATTGTAAACTTCAAAACATATGCAAATTTTTAACAAAGAACATAGTGATTTACCTCTATTTTCATCAAAATGCAGGCAATGGCCCAGGCGTTCTTTGTAAAATTATTTACAAAACACTGTATAGTCTCACAAATGTCACTTTTTATTTATGCCACTACAAAAAAACATGATGTAAATGATGCATGATGTAAAACATGATGTAAAAAACTTGTGTAGATCCTCCTCTATGTCAGTCCATGTGTAATTTTTCCATAATTCTTTGTTTTTTGCAGCATTTTTGTTAGTGTAACTGCAGATTGTGCTGACAGTGTCTATGGCACAAAAAAAAAAAAAAATTAAAATGCCTCAACATGAACCCCTGGTGGTCTCTGAGGGTGAAACCTGCTAACTGCTGCAGCTCTGTCAGCTTCAGTCTCCCATGCAGAGCTCTGAGCGCATGTGTGGCTCTGCACCCTTAGCAGCGTTGCTAACTCCTCAGTAAGGAAAGCCTGCTTCATGTCAGAGTCTCTAAACTCCAGAAGAAGTCGATAAAAGTCCCTTTCTTTCTAAAAAAAAGTCGTTAGGGGGTCTGAAAAGTCATTGAATCTAACAACAAAGTCGCTAGGTTTGCAACTACGTGTCCCAGACTGCATCCCTGCTGAGAGTCCCTCCCTCCCTTCTCATGTTGCAGGAAGAACGTAAGCACCCGCCCCTTGTCAATCAGTCACCATATAATTTTGGATTGGTTGTTGTGGTGAAGTTTTCCACCAATAGGAGAGATGTTGTGGTGTGTTTTTTTTTCTTTTGGCAAGCCTTTTCCGCCTGTAAGACCTGTCGCTAATGTCTGCATGCTATGTTTTCCTGTCTCATACAGCGCGATCGAGCGCCGAACGTGATCAAAATAAGCAGAAAAAAAGTATCGCGGACATAATTTATCATAACTCTGGTTTTATTTGGCCTATCAACACAATTTAAAAACTGGTATATAGGTTGAGGTCCTCACTTTTGAGATAAGTTGAAACGGAGAGTCAACGAGGCTCCGTCTTGCAGCTACATCCGGTTAAATATGTCATGTGACTTGAACGCACACACACACACACACACACACACACACACACACACACACACACACACACACACACACACACACACACACACACACACACACTCAGAGTCTGGTTTTTAGCACCTGCAAAAACATGCTATTTACATATTTGACAAGAATGCAGAGGCTCCTTTTGCCCCTGAAAAAAATCAAATTTCAAACACAACTTGACTGGTCATTTCTCCAAAAGACAACCATGAAGCTCCATCCAAACCTGAAGCAGGCAGTTGGTGCATGTGTACAGTAACCTGAGGGGAGTGAGGTGACTGCTTCTGAGGAGAACATGAGCAGTGAAGATTCACCTTGGAGCTAGAACAGAGACATGCACATGATTATACAGGGGCAGGGGCTCAAGTTTTTTCCAGTCGTTTATACAATATGGAAATTAATGTGAAATTAAAACACAAAGTATTAATAGAAAGGTAATGACTGTCCTGTGTAGGTGACAGTGATATCCAATAGGCTAGGCACTCACGAGGCTGGCTGTGGCAAGTGTAAGTGAAAGCAACACGCACTGGCAGGAAGAACAGCAAACGCCGATGAAGGAAAAGGGTCTTTGCAGTGATGGGCGTTACCAGAGAGGGCGATGGCCAGAGGACACAAATGGGACGGGGAGGCAGCACGTTGGGGGGGGGGGGGGCGACACGGCGCGGGCCCGCCAGTGCCCCAACGGGGTCCTAGTTTGTTATTATTATTATTATTTTTCCTCCCCTTTGAACTGGAAAATGGCCCACTTCCCACTGGCGAAAACTCATGAAATTTGGCAGGACGACCGGGCCTGGTGAAAAATTTGATATTCCGAAGTCGCCCAAACAAGAAAATGCAAAATGGCTCCATAGCGCCCCCTAAGGTGAAAATTCACACTATTCACTGTCACGCCTGTACGCTTTGTCAAAATGACACAAAAATTGACACACACATGTATCTCAATAAGATCTACAAAAAAGTCAGTGCGGGCGTATCTGTCAAATGTACGGTTAAAGGGTTATTTCGCATTTTTTGCCGATCCGCACACATTGGAATTTCGCTAACTCCTCCGAAGGCTTTCGTTCCACCGGCACCACATTTGCTCAGGCCAATCTACACCCCATGGCCATTAAAAGTTATTCAAATCATGACGCTGCACCCCACGCTTTAGGTTCTAGGGGGCGCCAAAGATAACCCTAAGATCCACATATTTAAAAGTCTTATAACTTTTTATTTTTGCCCTCACTGGCCTCCAAGTTTTCTAGGATGATGCAATGTCCAGCCATCAACACATTTGTGAAGGAATTTTTACTCCCCAAAAGAGCGCCCCCCCATGGCAGGAGAAAAAAGTCCATTTTTTCTTGTCCCCTAAGGTGAAAATACACATTGTTGAGTGTAACACCTGTACGCTTTGGCAAAATGACACAAAAATTGACACACACATGTATCTCAATAAGATCTACGAAAAAGTCAATGCGCGCGTATCTGTCAAATGTACGGTTAAAGGGTTATTCCGCATTTTTTGCCGATCCGCACACATTGGAATTTCGCTAACTCCTCCAAAGGCTTTCGTTCCACCGGCACCACATTTGCTCAGGCCAATCTACACCCCATGGCCATTAAAAGTTATTCAAATCATGACGCTGCACCCCACGGTTTAGGTTCTAGGGGGCGCCAAAGATAACCCTAAGATCCACATATTTAAAAGTCTTATAACTTTTTATTTTTGCCCTCACTGGCCTCCAAGTTTTCTAGGATGATGCAATGTCCAGCCATCAACACATTTGTGAAGGAATTTTTACTCGGCAAAAGAGCGCCCCCCATGGCAGGAGAAAAAAGTCAATTTTTTCTTGTCCACTAAGGTGAAAATACACATTGTTGAGTGCTACGCCTGTATGTTTTGTCGTATTGACACAAAATTTTACATACACGTGTATTTCAATAAGATCTTCGAAAAAGTCAATGGCCACGTATCTGTAAAATGTACGGTTAAAGGGTTATTTCGCATTTTTTGCAGATTCGCACACATTGGAATTTCGCTAATTCCTCCGAAGGCTTTCGTTCCACCGGCACCACATTTGCTCAGGCCAATCTACACCCCATGGCCATTAAAAGTTATTCAAATCATGACGCTGCACCCCACGGTTTAGGTTCTAGGGGGCGCCAAATATAACCCTAAAATCCACATATTTAAAAGTCTTATAACTTTTTATTTTTGTCCTCACTGGCCTCCATGTTTTCTAGGATGATGCAATGTCCAGCCATCAACACATTTGTGAAGGAGTTTTTCTCTTTAAAAGAGCGCCCCCCCATGGCAGGAGAATAAAGTCAAGTTTTTCCTGTTCATCATTCAATGGCTCAAACGCACTGCTCTCTCGGCAAAAGCGAAAGGAGGAGCAACTTGCCATTTGGATATATCTTAGCTGTGTTTGTGCCCTCACTCATGGTCCAGACTTTTTTCAAATAGGACATGGAGTTTTTCTGCAGCGAGCGTTTTGGTAGAAACTGCGCCTCCCGTTCATTATAATGGTAAATGACCACAAACAAGTGCGCACACCATCTTTGGACCTTGAGTGTGACGCGATCGGGTGGGGGAGGCGGTCGCGCTGGGGGCGGCGTGACACGGCTCGGGCCCGCCAGTGCCCCAACGGGGCCCTAGTTATTATTATTATTTTTCCTCCGCTTTAAACTGGAAAAAAACTCACTTCCCACTGGCGAAAACTCATGAAATTTGGCAGGACGACCGGGCCTGGTGAAAAATTCGATATTCTGAAGTCGCCCAAACAATAAAATGCAAAATGGCTCCATAGCGCCCCCAAAGGTGAAAATTCACACCATTGACTGTCACGCCTGTACGCTTTGTCATATTGACACAAAAATTGACACACATATGTATCTCAATAAGATCTACAAAAAAGTCAGTGCAGGCGTATCTGTCAAATGTACGGTTAAAGGGTTATTTCGCATTTTTTGCCGATCCGCACACATTGGAATTTCGCTAACTCCTCCAAAGGCTTTCGTTCCACCAGCACCACATTTGCTCAGGCCAATCTACACCCCATGGCCATTAAAAGTTGTACAAATCATGACGCTGCACCCCACGGTTTTGGTTCTAGGGGGCGCCAAAGATAACCCTAAAATCCACATATTTCAAAGTCTTATAACTTTTTATTTTTGTCCTCACTGGCCTCCAAGTTTTCTAGGATGATGCAATGTCCAGCCATCAACACATTTGTGAAGGAATTTTTACTCCCCAAAAGAGCGCCCCCCCATGGCAGGAGAAAAAAGTCCATTTTTTCTTGTCCCCTAAGGCGAAAATACACATTGTTGAATGTCACGCCTATACGATTTGTCATATTGACACAAAATTTGACATTCACGTGTATCTCAATAAGATCTACGAAAAAGTCAATGCGCGCGTATCTGTAAAATTTACGGTTAAAGGGCTATTTCGCATTTTTTGCCGATTCGTACACATTGGAATGTGGCTAACTCCTCCTAAGGCTTTCGTCCCACTGACACCAAATTTGCTCAGGCCAATCTACACCCCATGGCCATTCAAAGTTGTAAAAATCATGACGCTGCACCCCACGGTATACGTTCTAGGGGGCGCCAAAGAGGACCCAAATATCCACATTTTAAAAAGTCTTATAACTTTTTATTTTTGTCCTCACTGGCCTCCAAGTTTTCTAGGATGATGCAATGTCCAGCCATCAACACATTTGTGAAGGAATTTTTTCTCCCCAAAAGAGCGCCCCCCCATGGCAGGAGAAAAAGTGAAGTTTTTCCTGCCCATCCATATGGCTCAAACGCATCGCTCTCTCGGCAAAACCGAAAGGAGGAGCAACTTGCCATTTGGATATATACTAGCTGTGTTTGTGCCCTCACTCATGGACCAGAATTTTTTCAAAAAGGACCTGCAGCGAGCGTTTTGGTAGAAACTGCGCCTCCCATTCATTATAATCGTAAATGACCACAGACAAGTGCACACACCATCCTTGGACCTTGAGTGTGACGCGATCGGGAGGGGTAGGCGGTCGCGCTGGGGGTGGCGCGACACGGCTCGGGCCCGCCAGTGCCCCACTGGGGCCCTAGTTTCTTCTTTTTCCTCCCCTTTGAACTGGAAAATGGCCCACTTCCCACTGGCGAAAACTCATGAAATTTGGCAGGACGACCGGGCCTGGTGAAAAATTCGATATTCTGAAGTCGCCCAGACAATAAAATGCAAAATGGCTCCATAGCGCCCCCTAAGGTGGAAATTCACACTATTGACTGTCACGCCTGTACGCTTTGTCATATTGACACAAAAATTGACACACATATGTATCTCAATAAGATCTACAAAAAAGTCAGTGCGGCCGTATCTGTCAAATGTACGGTTAAAGGGTTATTTCGCATTTTTTTCCGATCCGCACACATTGGAATTTCGCTAACTCCTCCGAAGGCTTTCGTTCCACCGGCACCACATTTGCTCAGGCCAATCTACACCCCGTGGCCATTAAAAGTTATCAAAATCATGACGCTGCACCCCAAGGTTTAGGTTCTAGGGGGCGCCAAAGATAACACTAAAATCCACATATTTAAAAGTCTTATAACTTTTTATTTTTGTCCTCACTGGCCTCCAAGTTTTCTAGGATGATGCAATGTCCAGCCATCAACACATTTGTGAAGGAATTTTTACTCCCCAAAAGAGCGCCCCCCCATGGCAGGAGAAAAAAGTCCATTTTTTCTTGTCCCCTAAGGTGAAAATACACATTGTTGAGTGTCACGCCTATACGCTTTGTCAAAATGACACAAAAATTGACACACACATGTAACTCAATAAGATCTACGAAAAAGTCAATGCGCGCGTATCTGTCAAATGTACGGTTAAAGGGTTATTCCGCATTTTTTGCCGATCCGCACACATTGGAATTTCGCTAACTCCTCCGAAGGCTTTCTGTCCACCGGCACCACATTTGCTCAGGCCAATCTACACCCCATGGCCATTAAAATTTATTCAAATCATGACGCTGCACCCCACGGTTTAGGTTCTAGGGGGCGCCAAAGACAACCCTAAAATCCACATTTTTAAAAGTCTTATAACTTTTTATTTTTGTCCTCACTGGCCTCCAAGTTTTCTAGGGTGATGCAATGTCCAGCCATCAACACATTTGTGAAGGAATTTTTACTCCCCAAAAGAGCGCCCCCCCATGGCAGCAGAAAAAAGTCCATTTTTTCTTGTCCCCTAAGGTGAAAATACATATTGTTGAGATTCATGCCTATACGCTTTGTCATATTGACACAAAATTTGACAATCACGTGCCTTGCCTGGTATCATTTTTTTTCAGCACAACCTCACCTGTGCGAATTTACAGTTATTTTATCATGTTGACATACTGAATTTACACAATGGACCCAAATTCACACACAAAACATAAAATCCGAGTGGAAAAAAGTAAAATTTTTACTGTGAAAACCACAAATATGTGTGATGAACTGTTTTTAAAACTTAAACTTCAAATAAAAATTGTAAACTTCAAAACATATGCAAATTTTTAACAAAGAACATAGTGATTTACCTCTATTTACATCAAAATGCAGGCAATGGCCCAGGCGTTCTTTGTAAAATTATTTACAAAACACTGTATAGTCTCACAAATGTCAATTTTTATTTATGCCACTACAAAAAAACATGATGTAAATGATGCATGATGTAAAACATGATGTAAAAAACTTGTGTAGATCCTCCTCTATGTCAGTCCATGTGTAATTTTTCCATAATTCTTTGTTTTTTGCAGCATTTTTGTTAGTGTAACTGCAGATTGTGCTGACAGTGTCTATGGCACAAAAAAAAAAAAAAATTAAAATGCCTCAACATGAACCCCTGGTGGTCTCTGAGGGTGAAACCTGCTAACTGCTGCAGCTCTGTCAGCTTCAGTCTCCCATGCAGAGCTCTGAGCGCATGTGTGGCTCTGCACCCTTAGCAGCGTTGCTAACTCCTCAGTAAGGAAAGCCTGCTTCATGTCAGAGTCTCTAAACTCCAGAAGAAGTCGATAAAAGTCCCTTTCTTTCTAAAAAAAAGTCGTTAGGGGGTCTGAAAAGTCATTGAATCTAACAACAAAGTCGCTAGGTTTGCAACTACGTGTCCCAGACTGCATCCCTGCTGAGAGTCCCTCCCTCGCTTCTCATGTTGCAGGAAGAACGTAAGCGCCCGCCCCTTGTCAATCAGTCACCATATAATTTTGGATTGGTTGTTGTGGTGAAGTTTTCCACCAATAGGAGAGATGTTGTGGTGTGTTTTTTTTTTCCTTTGGCAAGCCTTTTCCGCCTGTAAGACCTGTCGCTAATGTCTGCATGCTATGTTTTCCTGTCTCATACAGCGCGATCGAGCGCCGAACGTGATCAAAATAAGCAGAAAAAAAGTATCGCGGACATAATTTATCATAACTCTGGTTTTATTTGGCCTATCAACACAATTTAAAAACTGGTATATAGGTTGAGGTCCTCACTTTTGAGATAAGTTGAAACGGAGAGTCAACGAGGCTCCGTCTTGCAGCTACATCCGGTTAAATATGTCATGTGACTTGAACGCACACACAGACACACACACGCACACACACACACACACACACACACACACACACTCAGAGTCTGGTTTTTAGCACCTGCAAAAACATGCTATTTACATATTTGACAAGAATGCAGAGGCTCCTTTTGCCCCTGAAAAAAATCAAATTTCAAACACAACTTGACTGGTCATTTCTCCAAAAGACAACCATGAAGCTCCATCCAAACCTGAAGCAGGCAGTTGGTGCATGTGTACAGTAACCTGAGGGGAGTGAGGTGAGTGCTTCTGAGGAGAACATGAGCAGTGAAGATTCACCTTGGAGCTAGAACAGAGACATGCACATGATTATACAGGGGCAGGGGCTCAAGTTTTTTCCAGTCGTTTATACAATATGGAAATTAATGTGAAATTAAAACACAAAGTATTAATAGAAAGGTAATGACTGTCCTGTGTAGGTGACAGTGATATCCAATAGGCTAGGCACTCACGAGGCTGGCTGTGGCAAGTGTAAGTGAAAGCAACACGCACTGGCAGGAAGAACAGCAAACGCCGATGAAGGAAAAGGGTCTTTGCAGTGATGGGCGTTAACAGAGAGGGCGATGGCCAGAGGACACAAATGGGACGGGGAGGCAGCACGTTGGGGGGGGGGGGAGGAGACGCGACACGGCTCGGGCCCGCCAGTGCCCCAACGGGGTCCTAGTTAGGGCCCGAGCGTAGCTGCTAAGCAACTGCGAGAGCCCTATTATTCCCCAAGTGGTTTTTCTTTGTTTCTTTCTTTCTTTCTTTCTTTCTTTCTTTCTTTCTTTCTTAGGGCCCGAGCGTAGCTGCTAAGCAGCTGCGAGAGCCCTCTTGTTCCTGCATGTTTCCTTCTTTTGTTATTATTAGGGCCCGAGCGTAGCTGCTAAGCAGCTGCGAGAGCCCTCTTGTTCCTGTAGTTTCCTTCTTTTGTTATTATTATTATTTTTCCTCCCCTTTGAACTGGAAAATGGCCCACTTCCCACTGGCGAAAACTCATGAAATTTGGCAGGACGACCGGGCCTGGTGAAAAATTTGATATTCCGAAGTCGCCCAAACAAGAAAATGCAAAATGGCTCCATAGCGCCCCCTAAGGTGAAAATTCACACTATTCACTGTCACGCCTGTACGCTTTGTCAAAATGACACAAAAATTGACACACACATGAATCTCAATAAGATCTACAAAAAAGTCAGTGCGGGCGTATCTGTCAAATGTACGGTTAAAGGGTTATTTCGCATTTTTTGCCGATCCGCACACATTGGAATTTCGCTAACTCCTCCGAAGGCTTTCGTTCCACCGGCACCACATTTGCTCAGGCCAATCTACACCCCATGGCCATTAAAAGTTATTCAAATCATGACGCTGCACCCCACGGTTTAGGTTCTAGGGGGCGCCAAAGATAACCCTAAGATCCACATATTTAAAAGTCTTATAACTTTTTATTTTTGCCCTCACTGGCCTCCAAGTTTTCTAGGATGATGCAATGTCCAGCCATCAACACATTTGTGAAGGAATTTTTACTCCCCAAAAGAGCGCCCCCCCATGGCAGGAGAAAAAAGTCCATTTTTTCTTGTCCCCTAAGGTGAAAATACACATTGTTGAGTGTAACACCTGTACGCTTTGGCAAAATGACACAAAAATTGACACACACATGTATCTCAATAAGATCTACGAAAAAGTCAATGCGCGCGTATCTGTCAAATGTACGGTTAAAGGGTTATTCCGCATTTTTTGCCGATCCGCACACATTGGAATTTCGCTAACTCCTCCGAAGGCTTTCGTTCCACCGGCACCACATTTGCTCAGGCCAATCTACACCCCATGGCCATTAAAAGTTATTCAAATCATGACGCTGCACCCCACGGTTTAGGTTCTAGGGGGCGCCAAAGATAACCGTAAAATCCACATATTTAAAAGTCTTATAACTTTTTATTTTTGTCCCCACTGGCCTCCAAGTTTTCTAGGATGATGCAATGTCCAGCCATCAACACATTTGTGAAGGAATTTTTACTCGGCAAAAGAGCGCCCCCCCATGGCAGGAGAAAAAAGTCAATTTTTTCTTGTCCACTAAGGTGAAAATACACATTGTTGAGTGCTACGCCTGTATGTTTTGTCGTATTGACACAAAATTTTACATACACGTGTATTTCAATAAGATCTTCGAAAAAGTCAATGGCCACGTATCTGTAAAATGTACGGTTAAAGGGTTATTTCGCATTTTTTGCAGATTCGCACACATTGGAATTTCGCTAATTCCTCCGAAGGCTTTCGTTCCACCGGCACCACATTTGCTCAGGCCAATCTACACCCCATGGCCATTAAAAGTTATTCAAATCATGACGCTGCACCCCACGGTTTAGGTTCTAGGGGGTGCCAAATATAACCCTAAAATCCACATATTTAAAAGTCTTATAACTTTTTATTTTTGTCCTCACTGGCCTCCATGTTTTCTAGGATGATGCAATGTCCAGCCATCAACACATTTGTGAAGGAGTTTTTTCTCTTTAAAAGAGCGCCCCCCCATGGCAGGAGAATAAAGTCAAGTTTTTCCTGTTCATCATTCAATGGCTCAAACGCACTGCTCTCTCGGCAAAAGCGAAAGGAGGAGCAACTTGCCATTTGGATATATCTTAGCTGTGTTTGTGCCCTCACTCATGGTTCAGACTTTTTTCAAATAAGACATGGAGTTTTTCTGCAGCGAGCGTTTTGGTAGAAACTGCGCCTCCCGTTCATTATAATGGTAAATGACCACAAACAAGTGCGCACACCATCTTTGGACCTTGAGTGTGACGCGATCGGATGGGGGAGGCGGTCGCGCTGGGGGCGGCGTGACACGGCTCGGGCCCGCCAGTGCCCCAACGGGGCCCTAGTTATTTTTCCTCCCCTTTGAACTGGAAAATGGCCCACTTCCCACTGGCGAAAACTCATGAAATTTGGCAGGACGACCGGGCCTGGTGAAAAATTTGATATTCCGAAGTCGCCCAAACAAGAAAATGCAAAATGGCTCCATAGCGCCCCCTAAGGTGAAAATTCACACTATTGACTGTCACGCCTGTACGCTTTGTCAAAATGACACAAAAATTGACACACACATGTATCTCAATAAGATCTACAAAAAAGTCAGTGCGGGCGTATCTGTCAAATGTACGGTTAAAGGGTTATTTCGCATTTTTTGCCGATCCGCACACATTGGAATTTCGCTAACTCCTCCGAAGGCTTTCGTTCCACCGGCACCACATTTGCTCAGGCCAATCTACACCCCATGGCCATTAAAAGTTATTCAAATCATGACGCTGCACCCCACGGTTTAGGTTCTAGGGGGCGCCAAAGATAACCCTAAGATCCACATATTTAAAAGTCTTATAACTTTTTATTTTTGCCCTCACTGGCCTCCAAGTTTTCTAGGATGATGCAATGTCCAGCCATCAACACATTTGTGAAGGAATTTTTACTCCCCAAAAGAGCGCCCCCCATGGCAGGAGAAAAAAGTCCATTTTTTCTTGTCCCCTAAGGTGAAAATACACATTGTTGAGTGTAACACCTGTACGCTTTGGCAAAATGACACAAAAATTGACACACACATGTATCTCAATAAGATCTACGAAAAAGTCAATGCGCGCGTATCTGTCAAATGTACGGTTAAAGGGTTATTCCGCATTTTTTGCCGATCCGCACACATTGGAATTTCGCTAACTCCTCCGAAGGCTTTCGTTCCACCGGCACCACATTTGCTCAGGCCAATCTACACCCCATGGCCATTAAAAGTTATTCAAATCATGACGCTGCACCCCACGGTTTAGGTTCTAGGGGGAGCCAAAGATAACCGTAAAATCCACATATTTAAAAGTCTTATAACTTTTTATTTTTGTCCTCACTGGCCTCCAAGTTTTCTAGGATGATGCAATGTCCAGCCATCAACACATTTGTGAAGGAATTTTTACTCGGCAAAAGAGCGCCCCCCATGGCAGGAGAAAAAAGTCAATTTTTTCTTGTCCACTAAGGTGAAAATACACATTGTTGAGTGCTACGCCTGTATGTTTTGTCGTATTGACACAAAATTTTACATACACGTGTATTTCAATAAGATCTTCGAAAAAGTCAATGGCCACGTATCTGTAAAATGTACGGTTAAAGGGTTATTCCGCATTTTTTGCAGATTCGCACACATTGGAATTTCGCTAATTCCTCCGAAGGCTTTCGTTCCACCGGCACCACATTTGCTCAGGCCAATCTACACCCCATGGCCATTAAAAGTTATTCAAATCATGACGCTGCACCCCACGGTTTAGGTTCTAGGGGGCGCCAAAGATAACCCTAAAATCCACATATTTAAAAGTCTTATAACTTTTTATTTTTGTCCTCACTGGCCTCCATGTTTTCTAGGATGATGCAATGTCCAGCCATCAACACATTTGTGAAGGAGTTTTTTCTCTTTAAAAGAGCGCCCCCCCATGGCAGGAGAATAAAGTCAAGTTTTTCCTGTTCATCATTCAATGGCTCAAACGCACTGCTCTCTCGGCAAAAGCGAAAGGAGGAGCAACTTGCCATTTGGATATATCTTAGCTGTGTTTGTGC